ACTGCATGGTAAAATGGAGAAGCAGTGTGGAAAACACACTCGCAACCATCGACTATAGAGTCAAAAGAGCCTTCTTCAAGTAAGTTAGCTTTGCTCAAGTGAAGTCTCTCCTTGGCTCCTTCAAGGGACATCAAGTGCTGGGTCATCTGCAACATTAATTAATTTCTCCATATTCATTCAATTTTCAAAATTATTTGAAAAAAAAAAAAAAACAACTTTCGTCAACCCCACATACACATTATTATACAAGCAGGCTTATTCTCAAATTCTGAAAATCTGTAAAATAATTAGATAATTATCACGGAAAAATATGAGCCATAAAACTACTATGTTCATAAATGTGTAAAATAAATATATATAAGTCAAATTTGACCATAAACATAAACTTGATGTACAGAATCTATACTTATATTAAAAGCTAAACTATTTACTAAATATAGTATGTAGAATAGTCAACCCTAATTAATGATTTACTATTTTTATCAAGCATTTAATTAATGAATCTAATATTTTTGGTATGCAAATCAAATTAGCATTTAATTAGTTCCTAAAATATTGGGTATACAATATTAATTTAGGAATATACATGTAATTCCTGAAATGTTGGTATGCAATACGTAAAAGAAGATTTTTTTATTTTTTTTTAAATATAAAATATTGCAACACATAAAACTATTCCAGTTATTTTTTTTATTTTATTTTACATATAAAATCTAATCAATATTTAATGCATCATACAAAATTGGATTTAGTTTAATTCTCCATACAATTGGTTGTAACTTTTTCAGTTGTACATTTTTTATTTATTTATTTTACACTTTTAAATTAATGAAGCACTCCGAAAATACCAAATCAAATGATTTATGAAAGTAGTTTTTTTTTTTTTTTTTTTTTTTTTTTTTTTTACAATTTTAAATCTATATACCCAACTTAAAAAGCTCATCGCATAGATGTGGACGAGTTTAAGAAAATTTCATAACCCAACTTATAAAATTCCATCTCCACGAGTCAAAAAAATCACATCCCTCATCTATCGTAACAACTTTAAACGTAAATAAATAAAAGTCTAATTACTACTATAAATTCCTTATCTATATAGATTTTTTAAAAATTTAAATTTCACATGTTTAATTACTAATATTTTAGATACTTTTAAATATTATTTGTATAAATTTTTTTACACGTTTGCTCTCTCTCTCTCTCTCTCTCTCTATATATATATACATATATGGAGGTCAAATGAAGAATTTTTTGACATATTTTCCTTACGGGTAGTTTACAAAAATTTAGGTAGCTTCAAACATTATTTGTGAATAATATAGAATATTTTAGATGCTTTTATAGATGTTATAAAATATTTTAAGTGTTTTTAATATTTATATATCACACTTAAAAAGAGTATTTTGCCAAAAAATAAAAAAACATTAAATACACATTGTAAATGTTAATAGAAACAGTCTCCAGTGTTCGTCTTTGATTTTGTCAAAACAAAACTCATAAAATCGGTGAAGTTAAAATTTGTACGTAAAGTCTATCTATACTAAAAAAAGGTAGATTCAAAATTCTTTATCTAATTTTTTTTTTTTTTTCTTATCTAATTCTTCTTATTATCTAATTGTATAGAAATTTGTTCTGATTTTGTTCAATCCTCTAATTGTATTTGTATCATATCCCATAAAATTGGTTTAACAAAAAAAATCTCATAACATCCGATAAGTAAAAAAAAAAAAAATACGTAAAATCTTTACTAAAATAAAAAAGATTTTATTTATTATCTAATTGTATGAAAATCTGTTCTGATTTTATAATACGTACTATAAATTGTGCACCCGTGTTCAGGAGCTATTTAACGTGGCAAGCTCTGTGGAAATAACTCATTTAGTGCTTCTGTCTTGTGCATACGGTATGTATTTGTATTACACATACTAGAAAATTGTGCACCCCTTGCATCGCACAGACTCTGTACTAATAAATGACCTTAAAATCGTGCACCCCGTGCATTACCCGTGTTCACATTTTGGCCTATTACAGGTCACATACTATATATATCCCGTACATTTTTCTTTATTCATTTATATAATTATAAGATTTGATAAATAGCCTTAATTTTGTGCACCCCGTGCATCGCACGGGATCTGTACTAGTTTACATAAATCGGTAAAGTAATTCATAATTATTTTATTTTTTTCACATGATAAAGATAATAAGCTTCTTCTTAAACATAAACTAACTTGGGTCACGAACGGATGCCTTGACTGTATAACTCTTCTCAGAGCAAGAATTTGACGATCCATGAAGCAATAAAACCTGATGCTCCTGTTACACACACAGTCTTCATTATATTATTTCAACCTAAAATTGCTCTTTCTTTGTTTCTCAACGTCTTTAATATATCTCTTTTTATGTGTTTGAGTGCTCATAGACTTTTATAGAATGAGATTGTAATCGCAAAACAAAGAAAAAAGAATTTAGAGTTTTTCAAACACTCTATATTTTTCAAACACTATTTATGTTTTGCGAAAAAGAGTTTATAGTTTTTCAAATGCACTATATTTTTCAAACACTATTTAGTTGGGGTTTTTTCCTAATACAAAAGTTTTGTTTGGTATTTCATATATTTTCTTAATTAATTTTTATATAATTTTTTTTCCTCGTTAATCATTTATTAAAAACAAATAAACAAAGACAAAGTGAAAAACATGCAAAATTGATTATATTTCAACATATTATTCAATATAAATAAATATGCATATTTAAATATATATTGGATATATAAATTATTAAACCAGTTAGTTTAAATGATATATTTAGTTTAATATATTCCCAGGGCGTGTTTCTGCAAAAACTATTCAAATTAGAGCTCCAGAAATATAAGTGTTTATACATAATTTCATAAATATGTTCAACGTGCTACATTTTTTTCGCAGTTTGTATTTTCCGGTATGTTCAACATGTTACAATTTCCTCTCATGTATTTTTAATTGTGTTTGTATATATTACTTGATACAAATTAGTATTTGTACAAACCTTGATACCTTCAGTATCATCTTGATGCAGCACCTTCACAATGGATACCTACTTAATTTTACTGTGGTCCAAGGCTGAGTATGGGACTCGAAAATTCCAAATCGTTCCAAAATCTACACCGAATTCACTCTAAACCGAATAATCGTTGATCGTTTGACTTTGACGACCAAATCGAACTGACAAAATTAATTTGCAGTGTTCGAGAGATTCCACAAATATCAATACTGAGTATCGAACCATCCCATCCGTACCAAACTGAAGAAACGAAAAACATATATATATATATATATATATATATATATATCAAAAATTAAAAATAGCTAGATAATCATTCAAAAAAATTGAAAAATAATTCGAAATCTCCATAGCTCCAAACCAAAATGTCCCAATGGTCGTGAATATCGAACTGAACCGTATGTTTCTAGAGATTGAATTTTACTGTTATCCGAATTTCAATACGGTTCCGGAGATTTTTTTAATCTCCGATCCGAACCGTACCGACACATGCTCACCCCTAAGTCCAATTCAAGAGCTGAAGATGGTAAAATCCCATTTAACTCCATCAAAGTGGTTAAAATGAGCCTTGATAAAGTAAAAAACCCAAGCCAAGTACTGATCTCATTTTTCAAACTTCTCTCTCAATTCAACATAAGATTTGTCTGTTATAAGCTAGTAAAGGGCAATCACCATCCTCATTTTCCTCTTTTTTCTTTGCTACTTTTCGATTAGAGCATTTTCGACAAACCTTGCCGTGAGTATAAAGAAGACAATTGAGATCAAACTTCAGTTCACCCGGAATTCTTTGGTTGAGATGAAGATACGTGCTTTTAGTGTCTGCCATTGGTGGCACCCATCGCATAGTTTTAGCTATCTGAAAAACCTGAACAAATTATGGGGAGATGTAAATAATTCTTCATTTTCCATTTTTGTTTTTTGAAACTTAGGTGCAAAGAAAAAATCGAGAAAGACACGCCAAGTACTCACATGTGTGTCCACAGGGAAATCATCGTGCTGTAAATAAAACATCAACACACACGATACCTGGCACGAATTTTTCACGAACGGGCATTAACAAAGTAATTTCTGCAAGATTAGTATTGAGCAAAAAAAGATAAGCCATATAATTGAACATGAGAAAAACATTTCTATTATGCAATCATTCATATAGTTTCGTATTGGCATTTTCATATAATTTCCACACCTATGCACTAAACGACCAATTGTAATAATCTGAACCATCTTCAAGAGCACGAAAATGGGAATCATATCTACAGTATTTTTTCTAATTTTGCAGAAAAAATTTACAGCAGGTAAATCGACTATTCCTTCAGGTAAAAGTGTTCTGAAACGGTGATGGCAGAGATCAAACAACAAAACCCCATTAACGGTTAAACAAGTGTAGATGATCATTAGCAATTTTTTAACTAATCAATCAATTTACTGGAACTCAATTCGATCACTTCGAAAATAAGCTGATATGTAGTGGCAGAGAAATTATTACTGTCTTTGGACCGATTCCTTTGAAAAGAGAAAGCTCTGACTTGACTTCCTCAATAGACAATTCTCTCAAGTACTCCATGCAAAGTTTCCCTTTTTTCTCGAGCAATAGGCTTAACAAATTCTTTATACAAGCAGACTTTGTTGGAGCTAGGCCACCACATCTTATAGCATCCTCAATGTCCTTCGACTCAGCTGCAAGAACCTTTCAAACAAAAATGCACGCCGAGCACAGGAAAAGGAAAAGGAAAAAGAAAAATAGCAATAATTAATAAAAGAAAAGGATTATTACGAGCAGGGAGCCACTAACAGAAACCAACATCTTAAGATGAACATACAAAAACAACTTTAACCCCCATTGGGAATCGAATTTTCCGGCCACCGAATAAGCTATTTCTGCAAATTTTCAAGCAACTCACTAGCACTTCTTCTTCACAAATTACCACAAACTAATCACTCGTGGAGAATGAATCAACAAACCACGAGTAACTAGTAAAAATTCAGTCTTTCCAAACAGATGAGCATTGTACAAATGGTAAAGGTTAGTCAACAATCAAGCAGCACTAAGCTCACAAGTCACAACACAAGACCAAGACACATCAAACACATGTCTTAGAATAAAGAGGAAAAACAAAAACAAGATAGAATAACTATTAAGTCCATTACGGCAGAAAATCTTTATAGGTAACTTCGATAAACACGATTTAAAGCTTCAAGCTTTGCACTTTCTCGCGTCAAGACCAATGAAACCAAAAACCCACAAAGCAGAAAAGATAAATAAGTTCAAAAAGACGAGGAAACAGCTGAAGAAAATGCATACATACATCTTCCCAAGCAGGAAAAGCAGTTTTGAGTGAAGCAAAAGCCCTTTCCGAATTAAGCTCTGTAGTATTCTGGGACAATATGGTTTTCACTAGACCATTCAAGACACTCTCTTCCTCGTCAAGATCGCCGTCGTTCTTCAAAGGCCCGAGATTTTCTGAATCTTTGAGCTGGGATTTTGGTTTCAATCTCTGGTCGCGGTATTTGATGAATTCTTTTGGGAAACCGTGGAGGGACAGGAGGTCGTCTCTCACGGAGCGGCATTCTACGGGGGTAGGCCGCTGGTGGTCCGGAAATGGGCTTCCGGCGGCGGCGCCGCCACCGGCGGCAGCGGATTTGGGAGATCTTGGGGAGGATTGTGGGTGGGATTGCTTTCTCTTGCGAGCTGCGCGCATTTTCTCGTGTGTGTCGCGACCGTAGGAGTGGGGATGTTGATTTTCACATTAACAGGTAAGCCAAATAAGCTAGCTTATAGCTTATTTGGTTAGCTTATAAACTCCCTGTTTAAAGTAAGTCTCGTTTGGTAGGACGAGTTTTTTTAAAAAGCTCGAGCTTATTTCATAAGCTACTTTAGGTAGCTTTTCAAATAAGCTAGTTGAATTTTTTATTTCAGCTAGCTTATCAGCTAATTTACCAAACACCTTTTATCATATAAGTTAGCTTTTCAGCTATAAGTCATAAGCTATAAGCTATAAGCTCAAAAATTACATATAAAACTAGCTTATCAGCTAACTTATCAGCTAGTTTTATCAAACATAGTCTTAAACATTTGAAAAGAGTAAATTAAAACATATTGTATAAAAATCTACTTTGATAATTCTTGTTAGAAAATGTGATACTTAAAAAACACCATATGAAGAATTATGATATAACAAAGTATGAAATTTATTAGTATAAGTGTAGATTTTTATGTACATAGTAGAAAGGCCGATCAGCCTAACGATTAAACTGTCTAATACAATAATTTGAATTAACATACAATGGATGAGACGAATGATATACATATTTAATTTTTAAAATAATATAATTTATATAGTAAAAAAATTGTGACTTCATATTATTACATCATCTTTTATCTCAATGGACCATTTTGGCATTGGAAAAATGTGAAAGATACAATCAATTGAGTTACCATGAACATCTTAGCTTCCACTTACTTGAGTTTACTTTATCCCTCTTTTCATACTCAAGAATATGAGAGTAAGAAAAATTGAAATATTGAAATGGAAAATTTTAAAATAATCTTTTCCACGCAAAAATAAAAACTAAAATGGCTAAATAAATTTCAATTGCATTTTGTGATAGCGAATACACACATAAATGTATTAATCACAAATTTATTTGTGAAACAACACAGTCATCATGTGGCTCGACCAGTCATACTTTTATTAACGAAAATACCCGCTTTATATATAAATAATAATTTGAAATGTTATACTTTTGTTTATGTCGTTTTTTTAGAGTGTTGCAGTTTCATTTTAAAGTATATATAACAAATATATGTTAAAAAGTACGATTTGTTAACAATTAAACATGCCTAACATCGTCTTATTTATATAAAATATATTTATACATAATTTAATTATCAAAGATATCCTAGCTAGTCATCAAATTAGCTTATACATCCACGTATATTATATTGACATGACATGATACATTAATTCCTTCCTAATCCTCAACCAAACAAACATTTGAAAAAGAAAAAATCTCACCACAACGTGAGAACCTCAATCTTGCATTGAATATTATTCCCATTACTTATTTATTTATATCTCGTGATCACGAACGTGTAGGCTACCACCCTTTGCTCCCTAACCAACTTATTCTTATTCTACACACATAATTTTTCTTATTCCCTTCACATTCTATATATATATACACTTGCCATATTTGGACCATTTCCATACAAAAAGAAAAAAAAGAACTTATTTTCAACTCCAAATAGCTCAAGAAAATGTCTAGCTTTATGCCACAAGTAGTTTTAGCTCTATTAGTTGGCCTACTTGCTTTGAATCCATGCATTGTTCACTCGTTCGACTACGGAGATGCCCTCGACAAGACTCTACTGTTCTTCGAGGCCCAAAGGTCCGGCAAACTACCAGTGACCCAACGTGTAAAGTGGCGTGGTGACTCGGGCCTTCACGATGGATATGCTCAAGGGGTAATTAAACCTTTAACATTTCAAAACTCAAATTTTTTTGGTCAAAGATTTGATTTTGTGCAACTTACCTTTGTAATCTATTGTAGCTATTGAAGACGAACAAGTCGAAAAAACGATGGTGTTAAGACGAATTTCAGCAAGATTTTAACCGGAACTTCTTTTACGACATTACAGTGATTTATTACCTACTTGGTATTTGCTAAATGTACAAATACCCAAGTGGTAAAGCTTAACATTACAAAAGTTGAGCCTTTTTGGAAGTTTTTTAGTGTTGTTCTAATCTTAATTTCAAAAGTCTTACTTCTGCAATATATTTTACCTATCGAATACCGACAAGTCGAAAAAAAAAAGATGGCGTACGTAAGCCGAATTTCGACTAAAGTCATCTAAAACCAAACTTTTATAACACGTGTGATTCATTACAACTTGGGTATTTGCTACATTTGCAGGTGAACTTGGTCGGTGGATACTATGATGCCGGTGACCATGTGAAATTCGGGCTTCCGATGGCTTTTACGGTCACAATGTTGTCGTGGGCCGCTGTCGATTTCAAGAACGACTTAATCAGTCTAAAGCAATTTGGACACACTCTCGAAGCAATCAAATGGGGCACTGATTATTTCATAAAAGCAAATCCTCAGCCTTATGTCTTCTGGGCACAGGTACAAGTTACAATTTTCTTACTTTATATTTAAATGTCACAAGATATTATCAAAAGATTGGTCAAGTCAAATGTTTGTTGAACAAAAGGACTTAAAAGTTAAAACAATGGCTTTTAACTAATTTTCGAATTTTGTTTGATCGATTTTAACGGCGTTTAGGTGGGAGATGGAGGGTCGGATCATTATTGTTGGGAACGTGCAGAAGATATGACAACATCAAGAACCGCTTACAAACTCGACCTGGAAAATCCCGGATCGGATCTTGCCGGAGAAACTGCTGCCGCCTTAGCGGCAGCCTCGATTGCTTTTGAGCCGTTCGATTCTGCATACTCTAATCTTCTACTAGATCATGCTAAACAGGTGTGTATATGAATTGACGGCAAAGTTGCATATTTAGTCCTTAAACGGCACAACAATTTTAATTCCAAGGTTCCAACATTTTGCTTTTTGGTCTTGTGATGTACTAAAATTGCAACAATTTACGAAATTTCCAGATTTTCGATAATTTTGTTGCAATTTCTGTCATTTGAATTTCAGTAGAATATTAAATTACAGAACAAATGCGACAAGACGTTAAACCAACATGACTAAAAAATGCATTTTTGCCTATGAATTATTAACTAAAGGCATATATTGAGTCTAATTTCTAAATTTTCCTATGTAATGTAACATACAAGAAATTTGATGTTAACTTCTATAACTTGTGATTTTCTTGTCTGTTTTTTTCTGTCAGCTTTTCTCATTTGCAAATAGATTCAGGGGACTCTTCATCGACTCGATCGGGAATGCCAGGCAGTTCTATACATCATCTGGTTACAATGTGTGTCTCTAGCTCTAGCTTGTTTATTCTTTTATTTTTTATTATGTTTTCAACACAAATTACATAAAATATCCCCTGATTTAAATTCTTCATTCTTTTTTTTTTTTTTTTGGTTTCGTTTTGTGTTGTTTTGTCTTAGGATGAACTATTATGGGCTGCTACATGGCTTCACAGAGCTACAAATGAAGAGTATTACTTGAAATATGTTGTGGACAATAGTGTCTCATTGGGTGGCACTGGCTGGGCTGTTAAACAGTTCTCTTGGGACAATAAATATGCTGGAGTTCAAATTCTACTCACAAAGGTTTTGCTAGATGGAGCTGGTGGAAAATACACCTCCACCCTAGAACAGTATCGAGCCAAGGCCGATTATTTTACGTGCGCATGTCTGCAAAAGAACGCTGGCTACAACGTGCACATGACTCCCGGTTAGCATATACACATTTAATTCTATTTCTTTCCCTAATTTGTATAGTCCATTTTTCCACATTTATGTAGATTTTTGCTTAACAACTTCTTTGCATTTTTTTTTTAAATAAAATTTTTCAAATTTAGGTGGGCTTGTGTATTTACAAGAATGGAACAATATGCAATACCCTGCCTCAGCTGCATTTCTTCTTGCTGTCTACTCTGATTATCTCTACAAATCCAAACAAAATGTGGTCAAATGTCCAGATGGTCAGCTCCAATCACAAGACCTCATCAACTTTGCAAAATCACAAGTAATTACGCGTGGATTCATCGATGATCGTTCGTAACTTGTGTGATTACTAATTAAAACCGTACGTTTTTAGTTTCGATTTTCTTAAATAATTTCTAATATTTTTTGTAACAGGCTGATTACATTCTTGGAAAGAACCCGAAATCGATAAGCTATTTGGTGGGTTATGGACAAAACTATCCAATCCATGTCCATCATAGAGGAGCTTCAATCACATCAATCTCCCTTCTTCAATCTTCGGTTGGTTGTGTTGAGGGATTTGAGGTATGGTATAAAAGGCCCAATCCCAATCCAAATGTGGTGTATGGAGCATTAGTCGGAGGCCCAAATGCCAACGATGAGTTCTCGGACGATAGGTCTAATTACGAACAAACCGAGCCCACTTTATCCGGCACTGCTCCTTTACTTGGGCTTTTTGCAAGATTGCACAGCCTGCCTGGAAATTCTGCAGGTTCAAACAACATAGATGCCCTCCTCTTTTTTTTTTTTTTTTCACATTGTTCTAACCTTTTATTTTGGTTATGTTTGATACAACTGTTTTTTTTTTAACTGGTTTTTCAGGTTCAAATGGTCATGCATTGCCGAAACCTTCAACTTCTTACCACAAATTACCACAAGGTTTTTGCTTTTACGGTTTTACCTTATGGCATTTTTCGTAACTATCCCGAATAAAGATCACAATTGTCACAATTATACCTCATAGTAGGCGATTAGATGGAAAACTATAACTATTCTAGTCGAGCCGAGTCCAAAAATGCTGAATTTTTCATTGTTCTTAGTTTTTAGATTGGTTTTGTTTGATATAACTGTTTTTTAAACTGATTTTTCAGGTTCAAATGGTCATGGGTCGCCAAAACCTTCAACTCCTTACCACAAACCACAAGGTTTTTGCTTTACCTTAAGGGATTTTTTCATAATTGTATCTTATAGTAGGCGATTGAAAAAACGATTATAACATTACTTTTCAACTTCACACATAACTTTCTAGTCGAGTCCAAAAAACGTTGATTATTAGACTGTCTCATACTAACTTTTCAACTGCACTCGTTTTTTTTCCCCTCAGTTGTCCCTATTGAATTCATCCACACCATAACCAACTCGTGGACCGTAGGCAAAGAAGGCTTTTATCGGCACAAAGTCGTAATCAAGAACGTCTCGAATAAACCCATTGTGGAGTTGAAGTTGTACTTGGAAAATTTAACTGGGTCATTGTGGGGTCTAAACCCAACACAAGAGAAGAACACTTATGAACTTCCTACATGGCTTAAAGTGCTTGAGCCTGGCAAAGAATGCACTTTTGTATACATTCAAGGTGGTACTCAGGCCAAAATTTCGGTACAAAGCTACCATTGATCGAGAAAAGAAGAGCGATTTCCATTGGATTTGAGCGACATATAAGATTTTTCGAATTCGTGCTTTTGGTGTTCTTATTTCTTTCTTTTCTTTAGTTTCATGTTCTTCTTGTAGATTATAAGTGAGACTTGTGGTATACTATTGTGATCCTTGTAGTATAATATTGTAAGCTGCAATAAATATTGTGTGGGCAGTGATAGTCTCATCACATTTGAATGCTTGATCACATATTTTTATTCACTTATGTGGATGAATAATTTTACCTTAAAGTTATTTAAGGTAGAATGATAGAAGTTCAAATTTCGATTATGTTATTACTCAATCAAAATTTACCGTTAATTAATTTTAAAAAAAAATTTAGTGAATTACTAACTCTAATTAACAACGACCTATGTTAATCGAATATTCACTTACTGAATATCTACTCGAAACAAGCTCATCGACTAAGCCTAATTAACGGACAACCCAAAATGAATTCTTCAGATTTAATGCCAACATTATTTCGTGGAAAAATAGATTGGTCTACGCAATAGATGCACGTTCGGACCGTTTAGCTTATCTTCACGAATCCTAGTTTACTACTAAAGCAATGAAACAATAACAATTACGGATTAAAATCTGGAATATAGCTTATATCGACACGTTGTGATTTGTTCATTTCTTTCCTACTTGAAAATGTTCAGCTCGATGTGTTACATCACCATGTTCACTTGATTTTGACGCGGTGGAGTTGGTTCGTTTTCTTCATAATGGTGAACATAAGAATAGCAAAAAACTTGTCACATTGAAGACCAACAATTGAGACCTTATCATTTGTCCTTGGCTCTAAGTCATCTACCATTACCACACACCAATTCAAGGTGCTAATTATCCCGAGCAAATAGTATCACCACAACAAAAATCAATGTGATCGGATATAAATTCATTCAAAAAAAAAAAAATAAAAATAGAGGAAAAATCAACATTTAAATTTAATTTAATTTTAGTTGAACTTCACTATTATCAATATTATTAATATAATTATATAATATTAACCAATCATTTTTACACACCACCTCAACTTTAATTCATTATTCATCAACTCAGGTTATAATAACTAACCATCACTTCACATCATCTATATCCTATTTTTATATCAAATCAATTTTAATTATTTTATAACAGAATACTTAATGTGCGATTGGATGTTTGTGTTCTTGGTAAAGCAAGTTATAGAGTAGAAAATAAATTATCTTTGAAATAATTTTGAGATTTTTTGAATGCATATGAGATGAAGTATAATGACTAATGTCAATGTGATAGGAAAATAGTAAAATAATAGATATAAATGATTGATATTTAAAATATATGAGTATATGAAAATAATTTCATTAAAATGTGTAATAATTATTTATTTTTATTATTTAATTGCCACTATTAAGTAAACACGTTTCTTTAGATGAATTGGCACCACTCGTTATAAGCTTTGAAATTGCTTACTACTTTTAAAAGAAAACGTGTTAATTAATCAGGTCCCTCAAAACTACATACTACAAATAAAACGTGTTACATTTCCCTAAAAAGCGTTATTAGGTCCCTAGCAACTCGTTTCGTTTAACAACTTGTTATGGTCCCTCAAAGCACAAAACCTACTACCACAAAAAGCATAGCACAAAATAAGGAAAAAATGAATATGAAATATTAGTCAATGTAATTATATTCAAGCACACCCTAATAACTACTCTAGACCACAACTATCCTAAAACTGTCCATTTAATTATGCTCCATTTTGATCAACTAGGAGCAGATACGTACATTGACCTTAATGATATTAATATTTTTTGTTTGTGTTAGGCTTCATGTGTTAAACATTTTAAACAATAATATTTTCTTTTCCAATAAATATGAAAACTCTTACACAGAATATCCTACTTATAAAAATCTACATCATCACTCGACTTACTTTTTACACTCGTATTTTTTTACTGTTAAAAATAATAATGAATTTCACGATAATGAATAAAATGTGCTCATAACAGTCGAGTCGAGTCGGAAAAAAGGAATTGGAACCGAAACTGGAAAACCAGATTCGAATTAGCATTTTGTTGGAATGTCACTTGTGAGTTGTCCCACATTGATTTGATAGGGTAAATAGGCCTAACTTATAAGCCTAGTGGGCTACTCCTCCTACTACTAATTGGTTTTGGGATGAAATCTCATTTGGGCTAACCCACTTGTGGTGCGCTTTACCTATGTGGGACCGCACTCGTACACATTTTTCGTTCCGCGGTTCGATTTAGGGGATATATGTGCACTCTCTAAAAACACAATGCCAATCACGTGCTTGAAAAATGTATAATTTTTTGAAGTCACAAGACTATCTACTATTTTGTGAGAGTGACATGAATGACCAATGTTCAATTATTGGCACTCCCATTATTGCTCTATTTAAGCTCATCACACTTCCATAAGCTAAAAGGCATCACCACAAAAGGCAAAAAAAAAAAAAAAAAAAAAAAAAAAAAAAAAAAAAAAAAAAAAAAAAAAAAAAAAAAGCTACTTGAGTATTTTTGATCAAATGTCTAACACCATCAAAATGCTTATGGTGAATGGCCAAAACATAGGGACTAAAAATCCATGGCGACTTGACATGAAAACCTCGAAAATGTTGTTTCATCGTGTGTCGCCTTCTTACATTATAAACGTTAACGGCTTTAAGAATCGTTACTCGTCGTCATTACAATGTAAGGCGGTGGCCTCTGTCCCGACCGTTGCCCAAACCAGACGGCGATCGGGAAACTACAAGCCTCCTCTTTGGGATTTTGATTTTATTCAATCTTTGACAACTGAATATAAGGTATACTGTTTTTTTTTATACTTATACATGTTACATTTTCTCACTATATAGATGAAAAATTTAATTATTTTTTTATACACAGGAAGAAAAGCACTCCAAAAGAGTAACTGAGCTAGTGACTCAAGCTAACAAATTATTGGATGAGAAAATGGGACCCATTCAACAGCTGGAGCTTATTGATGACCTGTCAAGGCTTGGCATATCTTATCATTTTGAAGACAAAATCATTCAAATCTTAAATAACTTATATACTTCCATCACAAGTTGTGAAGGGGATGATTTGTACTCAACAGCCCTTGAGTTTAGAGTCCTCAGGCAACATGGTTTCCAACTCTCCCAAGGTGATAATTAAATTTAATTTATTTACTTATATAAATATACGTATGCATGTACTAATTAAAATTTCCTCTCGTGTGTGCAATAATTATTATATTGTGAAGTATAGGAGGTTTTATTTTAGAAAGTTGCATTAAAATTCATAAAGAAAAAAAAAACATCTAATTATTTACGAGGATTCGTCTCCAGCTACCAATGATTGTACTTCAGCCACCGATTATTTTACCTTTAGATCAACACACACATATTTGCCCTACTATGAGCGTCGTTTTACAGTCACGTGGTATTTTGCCATTGGATCAACATACACGTCTACAAAAATTGGAACCAATTTTATGTTGGTATTGGCTAAATTTTGCAACCGTTACCATCCTTGATTTGCACATAAATACTAAATACACACATCTGGTGTGTGTAAAATCAGAGGTGAAAAGACACAACTTATTTTAATGCCGTAAGCTGTTGCTTTTTTTCAGAGCTATTCTCATGAAATTGGGTACTTCGTATGGCCCAACCTGTCTTGGTGGGCCCTAAATGTAACTTTTTCCACGTGTCTTGTTTCTCTATTTATATATATAACTTTTTAACTTTTAATTTGGGCCAAGCAAAATTAACCTGAAATCGGAAAATCGAGTCAACCCGTGTAGTACTTATCAAGACTATTGTATACCAAAATATGATACCATTTTGATTTATTCACAATTACTAAAAAAATAATCTAAAAATTTATATGCAGATGTGTTTGATGCTTTCAAGAACGAAAATGGCGATTTCGACCTCTCGAGCCTTGGCACGTACAACGACAAGGGCTTGTTAGAGCTATACGAAGCTTCTTTCCTCTCAACCGCAGCCGAAGAGACCCTTGAGCTAGCGAAAGAATTCACAACAAACGTTCTAAAGAGCAAAATCGAATTAATCAACCGTGCATTCGAACACGACCAATATCTTTTTTCGTTGGCTCGTCATTCTCTAGAAGTCCCGAGCCATTGGAGGATTCCAAGGCTAGACGCAAGATGGTTCATGGACACTTACAAGACGAGACCGGACATGAATCCCTTGTTGCTCGAGCTTGCAAAGTTGGACTTTAACATTATTCAAGCGACACATCAACAGGAACTTCAACTTGTCTCAAGGTTAGTTAATTGCTATATACTTGTAGGTAAATAATATTGGTAAACTACCTTATTGTTTTGTAAAAAGATAAAATATAACCATTTTTTGTGGAAGTATATATGAAATATAGTCATTTTGCACTGTGAAATGACACAATTACCGTTTTTAGGGGATCTAGGGCTCAAGAAATGGTTTCGATAGACAGATTTCCTAGAAACGTTTTCTAGTAGTACGAGTAATTGTGTCATTTCACATGGTAAAAATGACTATATTTCATTGAAATTAACATTGCGGCTATATTGCATTTTGGAAAGTTTAAAAAGGCTAAAAAATGGGATTGTACTTGTACTTATATTCTAGCTAACTATTTCGTGGGTCGGTTTTGGTCCTCTAAACGGGCTAATGCATTTGTGTATAGATGGTGGGAACAAACGGGCTTAGCTAAGGCGTTGCCGTTTGCAAGGGATAGAGTTGTGGAGTGCTACTTGTTGGCTATTGGAGACCTTTTCCAGCCTCAATATGGCTACTCGAGAATTATGAACGCTAAAGTCAATGTTTTGGTCACGATAATCGACGACATGTTTGATGTGTACGGGACCTTAGACGAGCTTCACCTCTTCAATGATGTCGTTCAAAGGTTAGTTAATTTGTCGTATGGTTTAAATATTATACGAAAGAGGTTAATTAATACAATTAACTCGTCGTGTATTAATTCTCAAATCAAATATATTTTTTTTCGTCTTCGTTTTGTTTTTGTAGATGGGATGTTGATGGAATTGAGAAACTTCCTGACTATATGCGGATGTGTTTTCTCGCACTCAACAACTTCGTAAACGAGATGGCTTATGATGTTCTCAAAGAACATGGTGTTTTCGTCATTCCACATTTGCGAAGATCGGTAATTAGACTTCTTAATTAGTGGTTTCCATGTTCGATTTACATGCAAATCACGTCGAACTATATGGTTTATTCTTAAATGTGCATTTTATTGCAGTGGGCAGATTTGTGCCAAACATACATACGAGAGGCTGAGTGGTTTTCGGTCGGACACAAACCGACGCTTAAAGAATATATAAGCTCGGCATGGATTTCGATATCGGTCCCTGTAATGCTTTGCCACTCGTACTTTCTTGTGACCGACGAACCAATCGAAAACGAGGCCGTTCAAGGCTTGTTTAAGCACGACAATATAGTTCGTTTATCGGGAATGGTTGCGCGTCTTGCAAACGATCTAGGAACATCGACGGTTCGTATTCTTATTATAATCTCATCTTATAATTAGCTTAAGATATTATATGTTCTATTTTCTTATTCTATTCTTGAGCTTGGTTTGTTAGGATGAGATGGAAAGAGGGGATGTGCCCAAATCGGTTCAATGCTACATGAACGAGACCGGTTCCACTCGGGAGGAGGCTCGTGCGTTCATAAAGTCTTGGATTTGCGACTTGTGGAAAAATATCAACGAGGCTCGAGTTGCAAATCATCCATTCCCGAAGAATCTTGTGAGGGTTGCAGTCGACTTCGCTCGAATAGCGTTGTACGTGTACCAGTATGGGGATGGGCACGGGACTCAAGATCCCAAGACCAAGACTAAGGGTCGTATTTCGGATTTGTTGTTTAGCCCTATTGTCTAAAGTTCGTGTACAAGTGACACAACGTCTAGATGGATTAGGAATTTAGGAGGCGACTTGGCTAATGGCTATTACAAGAACTTTTAAATCTATATTTTTTTCTTTAATAATAAAAACAATTTGAAATTTTTATGCATGAAATATACATTAATTAACTGTATAATAAAAATTAATAATAATTATAAAATATTACACTTACAATGAATATATGCAATTTTGCATTATCGTTGTATTTGGCCATATTAATTATTATATTTTATATAATATATCTTACAAGTTATGGACGATAATAAATATAAATAATTTTTTTTTTAATATTTTGACAATCCCGTCTAGACGCTAGGCACCAGTCCACTGTCTATCGAATTGTTTAACGTCTTCTAGGCAATAGGCATTGCCTACAAGCCATAAATCTATGAATTTAGGAAATAAAAAGAAAGGGCGAAAGTTGCAAGAAATAAAGTTTTTTTGGGTGAAAAAATGGAGGATGTTATTTTAACATAAGTCATGCTATAATAATATAATATAATGGTGGACATAAATTTAACATAATATGAATGTAGCACAACACATATGGGTTATTTGGGCTGCAAGAGGTAAACATATGGGCTATGCAAGGGATAAGAAACATGGGCTAGGTAAATTGATTGGGCCTTATACATACATTTTCTAAGCCCTATAATTTCAGCTTGGTTCGATATTACCATATATTCTGTGTCGAAATCGCATGAGAAATTTACCCCACTTACACTTCATTTGCTAAATAATATTAATAGTACGAATGGGTAAATTTTTATCATAATTACATAATATTTAATTAATTAAGATAATGGTTTATTTTAAGCAACTTTTAAACTACCCACTACACACATTAATGGTGGTAATATCATTGAATGAATATCTGGAAGAGATATTTTCCTTCCTTCCACACGCAATAGCCAAAATAGCCATATTTCCTAACACAAAAAGCTACTCTCTGTCTGAAAACTTCAATGGCCAAGCGAAGGAAGTTTGAAGCCAAATCCGTCAACAGTGAAGACGGTCGATGGCCGGCCGAAGAAGCCAAGTAAATTTCGATTCACGCTCTCTATCTTTGTATCTCTATTGTTAGAATTTATAGAAATTTGAATTTTCGATTTTAAATTTTGAGTTATTTTTTGTTTTTGGTTTTCGAGATTGATTTTTATTCGAATTTGGCTTTCGAGATTGAATTTGGTTTTCGAGATTGATTATTATGGTTACTGGTTGATTTTAAGGTGACTAACGGTTTTTACAATAGGGATTTTCAAATGGGGGAATTTTATGGTGATAATTTTTTTGGCCTGAAGCCCTTTTGTTTTGTTAAGCTAGGGATTTGGAAGGTTCAAGCTTGGATTTGCAGATATCCGGGTTTATGTTTATGGATGGTATAGCCCTTGGTCATGTCGTTGTCGTCAACCTCGAAAGCCCGACCTTGAGGCGGTACAACCTTGCCTGGTCATCCTCACCGAACGGGATCACTGACTGTTTCTGGAATCGAAGGCGTCGACGAATCGAAAGGGTGAATCTACTGTTGTCCACGACGGTGTTGTTGTTGTCACTGATATTCTGAAAAAGGTGAAGCCCGCGGAGCGATTGGGCATGCCCTATGACGAAAGAGGAAAAGCGTATTTCCTGATTTTGTGCATTGTGCCACAAAGGAGTATAGTAAACATATACACAGATTATACGTTAGTTATACATAATCTATAATATGTTATTTTTTAGAGTATGCAAAGTTGTTGATTGAATTTTGTAAATGTCATGTAAAGTAGAAGTATGTTGTTCATCTTATGTATAACTACATTCGATTTAGATTTTGAAGTCATTTTGAATTGTGTATTATGTTTTTATCCCGTTTTAATGTTGTTTATATGTTGTTTATCTTATGTATATATACCATTATTATTAGAGAACTGTCAAAGGTGTATTATGTTTTATCTCGTTTTAATGTTGTTTATATGTTGTTTAACTTATGTATATATATACGGTTATTATTAGAGAATTGTCATATCATGTTTATCTGATGTATATATAATGTATATCTGAACATATATACAGATCACAAAGAACATTTTTTTTTTTTGCTTTCCAATCCCTTAATTATAAGCTTCAGATTTGTTGTTCTTTTCGATTTTTTTGCTTGCGGATTCTCTAGCCGTAATTAAATTAAATGCATGATTTTTAATTGAAAAAGTAGACATATGTTGTTTATCTTATGTATAGCTACATTCGATTTGGATTTTGAAGTCATTTAGAATTGTGTATTATGTTTTTATCTCGTTTTAATGTTGTTTATCTTATGTATATATACCGTTATTATTAGAGAACTGTCAAATGTGTATTATGTTTTATCCCGTTTTAGTGTTGTTTATATGTTGTTTATCTTATATATATATATATACGATTATTATTAGAGAACTGTCATATCATGTTTATCTAATGTATATATATATATTATATCTGAACATATATACATATCTCAAAGACCTTTTGTTTTTTTTTTTGCTTTCCAATCCCTTAATTTTAAACTTCAAATTTGTTGTTCTTTTCGATTTTTTTGATTGCGGATTCTCTAGCCGTATAAAATAAAAAATGCGATTTTTAATTGGAGAGAAACATATTTATTCCTAATTGAATTAAATGCATGCTTTTTAATTGGAGAGATAAACAAATGGAAAGAGACAAAATCCTTGGGCAATTAACTACGTGTTTATTGATTGGAGAGAGAAGGAAATCAAGAGGTGGCATTAAATATCGTACTTGTGAAAAGAAAACCAACATCAAGTCCTATTTTGATTAAATTTTTTTCAAATAGTATACATGATAATATTTGTTATATAGAATATATGTATGTAAATTTCCCAAATCGCATCAAAATGAAGTTGATGAACAAAATCTGGATTAGGGCTGCAAAGGAATCGAGCGGCTCCCGAGCGTTTGAGTCAAAGCTCGACTCGAGATCGAGTTTGACCGAATTCGAGTCTAGCTCGTGCCCATATTTTGCTTATCGAGCGGCTCGTGATACATATTTAATTACTAAAATACCCCTTATAGCATTATGCATATATTAACATAGATGCTTAATAGTAATTTTTACTTTTCCACATAAAAATTTTCGCCGAGCTCGAGCATTTTGATTTTGAGTCGAACTAATTTTTATAGAGTCGAGCTCGAGCAGCTAAAAAAATTAGTCCTGCTCCATAAGGCTATTGTTCGGCTCGACTCATTTGCAGCCTTAATTTGGGTACATACATTGTGTTCAATTGTGATTCTATTTGATTTTTCCCACATCGAATCAGATCAATTTGGTCTATTTGCCATCGATTCTATTTTTAAAAGAAAAATAGACTTCTATTGTATAAATGATTTTGTATTATTTTTTAGGGACAAAACACTTCCCTATACTATATAAGGACTTATATATTTTATAAATTGCGCCCGAAGGACAAAAACAGAATCCCGTGAATCATCGAGTATGTGAATGCATGTTGCGCCCGAGCCTCATGGCCGCACGTCTGCCTGGACGTCACGCATCAAGTAAAAAAATAGTATAAAAGGACTTACAAATTTTATTTTGTTTTATTTTTTTTTTATCTCGAATCTCGAGTACGGTGTGCAAAGATAATGTCATCTAGGATAATTTATCTCTGTAAATACGAATTAAATATCACACGCACTCTACTTTCGGGAAAAAGAAAACAGAAAAGAAAAAAATCAGACTGACCTTGTGGGTTTGATTGATCAGCCAATCCAACTCAAATCTCAATCATGTCGTCGATCCAAATCCCAAGTCGGCAGCTTTTCATCGACGGCCAGTGGCGTCAGCCCGTCACCGGAAAACGCATTCCGGTCATCAACCCCGCCACCGAAGAGATTTTAGGTTCATCCTCTCGCTTTTTTGCTCTGTTTAACACTGACTGTTACAAGTTGTTGCCTCTAGCTTTCTATTTATGTTTTTGTCCTTGTAAAGTTTTGATTTTTCGTTTTTGGCCTTTCTGTATCTTACTTACAAGCTTGATATTTCTTGGTCTGAACTTGGGATGGTTTTTTTTTTTTTTTTT